CCTCTCCAGTAACCCTGAACACAAGTTAACAAAAGAGAGATAAGCTGGACCTATATCGCAGTAAAAAGTATCAAACATACTCTTGATGTGAACGTGCTTTGTAGTCACTATGAGAAAAACTACACACTAGACAGGTAAACTGAAGAAAAAATATTATTAGCCACTATTCAGTTCTTCACATTATATAGTTGCACAATAGCAGATATAATAAATAAACTTAGTATTCTGAAAATTGTTTAATTTCGAAGTCTAACTCCTAATGATTGCTACAAGTACTTATTCCACCAGAGTCATGTTTATTTTATAACTGCTTGAGATGTGAGATTGTATCTTTACATTGATAATGATAGCTACACGCACTTACGTGTGTGTGGGACTCTATACCGTTACGACTCACATTATTATTTTTGTCCTAGTCTATATATGACTTAGAGTTTCACCTATAATTGAGGTAACATTGCTCCACAGTGAAGTAGAAATTATTTAACTTGCTTATGTTGGAAAAACATTGCTTTTTAATGGTAAACTGAAATTTTGTATTTTCAGCTTGCATTTTGGGGTGGCTATCTAATAGATATAGCAATTTGCAGCCTGTTTATACTGTGAGGGCATAACATGATTTATAGGAAAATTGTAGCATAGGTTAAAGTCACTAAAGTGTTGATACCACGAGATATTAATTTCTATTAAGGTATCTCGATAGTTTAACATTCTACCGAACTGAACTGTTTAACTTAATTGTTTACTAAGGACAATTTATATAACCAACAGTTTTTTGATTGGTTGATCATTTATGCTTAGAGATTTTCTATCCCCATCTCGCCAAAAAAAAGACACAGATGGTCACAAAGTTGGTTACTTGCTAGATCTAAGTTGACAAAAGTATACTAGACAAAATAAGTTATTACAAATCTGTTTGCTATTTAATAGGCCTACTTTCTAATGCCTGTTGCGATATCTTGTTTTCGCGTACTCTTATATCTAGAATTATTTTAAAATTTGGGTAAAGTAACTACTTCCCTGGCTGTAATAAATATGTTCATTTTAAAACGTACTGACTGCGCCGTGTTCCTTAATAACTAGGGTTCATACCGTCCGCATGTAGTTTACAATCAAGCTTCCTTGACTCCAAGGTTGCTCTGTTTCACACGAGATGGCGGGAAGGTTGACATCTTGTCCTCTTCTGTCCATTTCATGAAGAGCAGATGCAAAAAGCTTGACGGCATCATACATCAGCGCCACTTCAGTCTACAGCAGAGAAATATAACGACAAAGGAAAATTAAGTTAAATAGAAAAACAGTTTCATAAATTCACTGCTTAAATACTTTCTTAATTACATTGTAAACTACTAGTTACTTTTCTGTTACGCAATTTCAATTGAAATGTCTTGTCCCATGTAATAGATAATAAAGTTTTCTTAACATGTATTAGTGATTGTTTTACATTTTTATACTACATAAGCTTACATGTGAAATGTTTTGAACTTCATTAACTAGTTTACATGTAAAATGTTTGAAATGAATATATTAAGACTTAGAGTGAATTAACATAAATATTTGTACATCTAGTTATAAATCAGAATAGAAGTTCAAGGCTGATCTACTGATGAAAGTAAAAAATATGTTTATTATGTATGCGTTAAATAACGCGCTTAATTGGGACAAAATGTATTCAGAACTTAATAAGCACGAAAACATGTTTACAACTTTTAGATACATTTTTAGATATAAAGAAGAATTATAAAGTTTGCAAATTACACCCATTCTGGAACTAACTCGCAACAACTAAAAATAAGAACCACAATAAGAGCGACCTTGGAGGTTACAATAATTATCCATAAAAATCTTTACCTGGTTATTCAGTTGTATATCAAATGTTATGTGCTTCAGCCTATAAAGTATACTCGTTCTGCGCGCAGATTATTTAAAAAATATTTAGCATAAATACCCTGACATCATTGTTTAGTGAGTTTACATAATATTTTATATCTTGCTTTAGATTTTCTAAGATGTGCGTGAGAGTGTAAGACTAGCCCAAACTATGTGAGTCTCAGAATCCAGGCTCGAGGTTTCAGTTTCGTGTACTTCCAAGACGATCTTGTTGTACACTTATTATTTTTCAGTTATGTTTGTTTGTTTTAATTATGCACAAAGCTACACAAGGGCTATCTGTGCTCTGCCCACCACGGGTATCGAAACCCGGTTTCTAGCGTTGTAACTCCGCAGAAATATCGCTGTGCCACTGGGGGAGGCTTTCAGTTATGGCTTGAGAAAAATTAAGGTGAATGACCTTGTTATTCTAAAGATCGTCAACAGTATGAATACCACTTTATTTACAACGTATTTACAGTTAATTCTCAAAGACTATGTTCATTATACATAACTTATTAAAAACATTATTGATGTAATACTTTCAGTTTTTGGGTAGCACACTGTTATGAGATTTGGTGAATACAAATGTCGTTAATAAATATGAGTGTTGCAATCATAACAGACATCCGGGACTTGCCAAGATTTAATGTTAACTTTGTAATAATAACAAACTGATACATAATAAAAGTATTTATTTTTTATGTCTGTGTCTTGCAATGCCGGACTAAAAAACTATTAGGCCCTGTACGCTATGGAAAATTTGTTAAGATAGACAGAACGTATGATATATATATATATATATCTGTGTACAGCGTTAATATCAAAATAGCACCCTACTTAAATATGCCGCAGTAGAAAACACACAAGCACCACTGATAGTGTAAACATTTTGTGTTCTAACTATAATGATTTAATATCACGTATAATTAATTAAAAAATCATTGTACTCCATTACATTGAACAAAGAGATAGGCTGAGAAAATATTTATATAACATAAATGAATGAATGCGATTTCTGTGTGTTGTTATTTTAGTGTGGTTGTGATTGTTATATACAGTGTTATATATGGAATCTCGTAGAGGTATTTTTCGTTCCAGTGATCGTGGGACTCCTTTGAGCTGAGGGTCTTGTGCAACAAGAGTATCGAATGCATATTGATTAGTCCGTGCCTCGTGTCTTGCAATAATACTGATTTTATTGTAATTTAGCTTAATACTTTGAAGTTATTTTGTGCCACTGCGTAAATGGGTTTGTTTGTTTTGAAATTCACGCAAAGCTACACGAGGACTATTTGCGCTAGACGTTCCAAGTTTAGCAGTGTTGGCAGCTAGTCAACATCACCCACCGCCAACTCTTGGGTTACTCTTTTATTGACGAATAGTGGGATTGATTGTCACGGCTGAAAGGGCGAGCATGATGTGAATTCAAATCCTCAAATTCGCAGATTAGAGTCGAGCGCCTTAACCACCTGGCCATCCTAGGCCTGCGTAGATGGGAGTGGGGATTGGGGAATTTAACACGAAACGATTATTTTAACAGTCAAGGTTTCTAAATGATATCAGGTAATTTACAAAATAGCGCTCACCTGTTAAAAAGTAGTCGTGTGTTGTAATTAACCATCAATTTAAAATTTTTTACTAGATACAGACAGTATTTCACATCGATTTTGAATGCTTTTGCTGCTTTAAAATATTATAACAATGCTAATTTCTGGAAAGCTAAGTTCAGTGTCTTGATTACACACTTGCTCTTCTTTGTCCTGCAATAATATTAACTTAACAGTTAGCTATAAATACTCTAATTTAGAAGTATAAAAATTACCGGAAAAAGAAAAACAAAGAAATAAAGAAAAGCACTTTAATGACAAATGAAGAATATTTAAAGCTTGCTGTAAACAAAATTGCCCTTCTTCCTACGTGTAGAAGCTGTAAGGCAAGAGCACAGTTTCTTTAACATTTTCCTTGTGAATATTTTTGGCATATTTAGAGAGTATTTTATGGTGGCCATGCTTAGTGTAAAGTTTGAGAATAATATTTGTGTTCACCTGAATGACATCTATGCATACAGAGACCTCTATGATTCAGGCATAACCTAATTTTAAACTGTAAACCAAAGGGAAGCTAACCAGTTGGTAGCATTAGATTTTTGAAGCGGATATTTTTAATCAAACAGGGCTGGACATTATCCAGTGGTTAGCTTGCTTGGATTCTGAATCCGAGACTTTATTGTTCCTAGCCTACAGCCGAAAAAAATGCCCTCTGCCATTTGGTGCCGTGAGTGCGCTATAAAAGATCAAATTACACTATTCGGTCGGACAAGAGTAGCGTAGAGGTTGGCAATAGGTTCTGTTGATTAGTTGGCTTCCTTCTATTCTATCTGTTGAAATCTGGGGACTGCTATGCGCTTATAGCCCTTGGTGTAGATTTGTGCGAAAATTCCAAAACAAACTTAATCGAACAAAAGAATTGACTTTCACTCTTATAACGCACCCACAGCCGAAAGTCTAAAGCGTATTTTGTATCACCACGTCTCTATCCTCAGATCCTCAAATCCCTAGTCCTATACGTTAACGATTAAGCCACGCCCAATTATTTGAGTCTTGCAAAAAAGTGGATTGTATAGTATAGTTGATTCTCTACATGCATATACCAAATAATTGACTTTATCAGAGCTCTGAGGCCATAAAGGAAAATACCTGTAGCCAGACATGATTTGTTCAGGTAGGCGACGTAGGCAGACGCCTGGGGTGGCAAAATCAATAAAAGTTTTAATATTAATTTGACTTTCAATATAATCGACTATCTCGCGCTCGCTTTACATCCTTTACCAACTGTTACTCATCCGGAAACTGTGCCCATAGACACGACCACTGTAAGCTAATAAATTTAAATATAAAGAAACCTCTACTAATTTCAACAAGCTAAAAACAAGGAAAAGACGAGAAAGACAAAGTTTCTCTAAATCTAAAAAGTTGGAAGTAAAACACAGACAGATCTGACGAAGTAAAAGTGTATTAGAAATTGCGACACATTGTTCATTTAGTGTTATATACACATTTATTGATGACAATGCTGTAAAAGTTTCACCGGGGAAAAAAATTTTAAAGTTTTTTTCCTAGGGTGATAAAATGCTCCAATCCGGTCAGGTCTGGAAAGTCTTTATTTACAGACATAAATTAGAACCGATGAAATGGATTATTTTTTGAAAAAAAAAATCCAAAATGTTTTACCGCTGGTGAACTACGCATGCGCAACGTCTCTTCAAACCATTGTCGCTCTCTCAGTGATTTGTCAAGCTAAAACCAGCTTGGTAATTCCTTGAAGAAGTAAGTAATAACTGCTGCATTTTGTATATTTACATATTTGCACGTTTGTATGTGTGTATAGGATTTATTATATGAACAATGTTGTCAGAAATTGAGCTATATAATACGAATGTTTGTGCAAAGTGGAGGAATAAGTGAGTTCGCGCAAAGCGTAGGTGATGTTCTAGAATCTAGATGATGTATAAATATAGTATAATTACTGTAATGCATCCAGTTATGTTCTAGGAATGTTCGCTTTACTTGTTCACATTTGTTAGCTTCTCTCTGTGTCTAATTGTTAACTATCTTTACCTACCAAGAGACTTGTCTGGGTGTGTTGAAAGAATTATACAACACCTTGCTGACCCACAATTTCGGACTTCAAGTATAACATTTTCAGTTAAGCTAAAGAATTTCGACTTGTTTATTTAATCTTACTGAATAGTATGTTGTTGGCCTCTCGTTCAATCATACTGAAATAATTAATTTCAATAAAGAGACAAAAGTGGTAAGTACTGAAATTCATATTTATCAGTAACAAGAACATTTGTACTCCCATTTCGCTCTACTTACTTAAAAAAGGTAATATTATAAGAAACTATCACAAAAAATGCAAGAAAATCAGCTATCCCCCCCCTCAGAAACTATGGATCCGGAGAGTTCTCAAATGTACCAATAGATAATCCTTAAACTTGCGTAATAAACCGAACACTGACTGAAACAGTTTGAGTCCACACCTAAATGGAACCAAATGCAAAGTTCGACATGTTTGTGTGATAACACTGAACGACGAATTATTTTAAAATAAAACAATCTTATATATATAATTTACAAGGTAGGATAGATTGGTCAATCTTTTTTAGTATTCAGGAAATTCATTGTGTATTTTGTTATCTTTCTCCAGTACAACAAGCTTATCTTCTTCTTCTTGTTATTTATTTTTTTGCTGAAAAAAAAAGGAGAAGAGGGGGTGGGTGTGTTTATTCTATCTAACATGCATGCTGTATGAGGTGTAATATATCCATTTTTTATTTTATATAATTGTTGTTTATTTGAATTGTAGGTTATGATACATTAATAAAACCACATAATGAAGATAAATAGTATTCTACAATTATCACAAACATTATTTAATGTAAAATCACGTTATAAAAAAGACCTACCGTTATATTCTGGGACATACGTAGCATGTAAAAGAAGAAATTGTTTGTGAACAAATTATTGTAAATTCCAGTGAACATTCGTATACTATATATACTATTAACTCAATATTAGATTAAAAAATAAGTTAAACACGAAATAAATAAACATAATAATAATATTGTTCATAGACAGTACGAATACATAATCTTGGAGCGAATCTGCTAATGTGTAGTTAAACTGCAGTAAAACTCAATACGTTCTTGCTGTTGTAGATTCACGATTTTTCATTTGTCTATTTTTCATTCAAACTTTATTTAAAAGCGTTGAAATGGTAAACCTATAAGGATGAGTATAGATATTTTTACAAGATATGTATTAACAAAGTTAAAAACCTCGTACTGAAGTCATTGCTTATTTTCTCTCTGAAACACAAGTTACAGGTGAAGCAAAGCAGTTAAAGTTCATTTATGATCTTTAATGCTTTTTACCCGGACTTCTTAAGTGATCACAAATAACCAGTTCGCGTGCCGTCAAACCTTATCTACTGTTTAAATCCTGTCTTAACTGGTACTATGGATACTAAATTCTATTCGTCTTCTTGGCAATGTTTAAGACTATGGGATAAAAAGGAACTAATCTGTAGATCTGGCACGATAGAAAAGATTCTACAGCATAAAAACTCGATACTACATTGAACACGCGTAATCAGCGAGAAAGATATGACTAGAGGGATGGAAATTAGACGATTTTCCCGTTTATTCCATACGAACACATATTACAGTCAAACACATGGGATTTGGACGATTTTCTCGTTTATTCCACACGAACACATATTACTGTCAAACACATGGGATTTGGACGATTTTCTCGTTTATTCCATACGAACACATATTACAGTCAAACACATGGGGTTTGGACCATTTTCTCGTTTATTCCACATGAACACATATTACTGTCAAACCCATGGGATTTGGGCAGGATGGGATTTGGAAGATTTTCTCGTTTATTCCATACGAACACATATTACAGTCAAACACATGGGATTTGGACGATTTTCTCGTTTATTCCACACGAACACATATTACAGTGAAACACATGGGATTTGGACGATTTTCTCGTTTATTCCATATGAACACATATTACTGTCAAACACATGGGATTTGGACGATTTTCTCGTTTATTCCATAAGAACACATATTACTGTCAAACACATGGGATTTGGACGATTTTCTCGTTTATTCCATAAGAACACATATTACTGTCAAACACA